CACGGGCCCCGCCCGCAAACGTTCCTGCAGGCCGCAGCTTGGCCCAGCAACCCCGCCCTAGCGTGGCTTTGCTTCGCCCTACTCCTGAAACAATCATACCGCATCATGCCACTCTTCACGAAATGAGTCCTTGCTGACTGTAAAAACATCTAAATATCTAAGTAATATCGCCCTATATAGGTCACTGGACTGGTCCGTCACCCAACGCGAGGGGCGTGACCGCTCCTCACGACGCCTGGGAATGATACATTGGAACGACCCGGGTGCGCTCGTTGGCAGGCACGAAGATGCGTGATCAGCAAATCTGGGGGGTAAATTTTGTATGCCCTCAGTCGGAAAGAGGGGTACGCATTTCTGACATCATACGGACTGTACATACACTAGGTCGTCCATAGTGTAGGAGAAGCACCGGTAAAAGGTATATGGAATAGAGTGTCTTGAGGACATAGCCTGTTTGTGGTTATTGCCAATCTTGGGGGGAAATTTACCCCCCGCTATGTCTGCCTTGAGCCGGAACGAGGGATAAGCATCACTTGAAGCCAGGGGGAGCAGGTCGAACGCTAGCCGAGTCGCACCGGATGTACTAGTTACATAGTCGGCAAAGCGTGTAGGGATTACATGTTTTGGGAGGAAGCTTGCTATGTACATACTTGGCGCTAGAGAATGTAAATGCGACATCGCTGACTGGGCAGGGTACATTGGAACAACCCGGGTGCACTCGTTGGCAAGCACGAAGATGCGTGCTCCGCAAATCTAGGGGGTAAATTTACCCGCCGCTTTTGTATGCCTTGAGTCGGAAAGAGGGGTAAGCATTTCTGACATCATACGGACTGCACATACAGTAGGGCGTCCGTAGTGTAGGCTAAGCACTGGTAAAAGGTAGAAGGACTGAAGTGTCTTGAGGAAATAGCCGGCTTATGGTTATGGCAAATCTGGGGCGTCAATTTACCCCCCGCTTATCTATGCCTTCAGCCGGAACGAGGGGTAAGCATCACAAGGACTGTGCATACCCTAGGGCATCCGTAGTGTAGGATAAGCACTCGTAAAAGGTGTCAAGAATAGAGTGTCTTGAGGAAATAGCCGGTGTATGGTTATAGCAGCCAGCAGCACCACGCAGCAGCAGCGCTGCGCTCCTCCCCCAAGAAAAGGGGTCGGCGGCACCAGGGCGAAGCCCTTACTATAAATATACTGAAAGAATTCGAGTACAATATCTGAATACTGAAGGATGTCAATGTCAATGCACTTAAACATCTGATGCGAAAACCATATCGTGATCCTCAAATACCATCACTTTAAGGTTTGTTGATGTTCCTTGCAACATGACCGGCCCAGGCCTCCAGTTCGACTAACTTCTATCTGCCAACAAGACATCTTCACCTGGCACCAGCGGGCTTAACAAAATTAGCAGAAGAAATCAGCACACCATGGACCATGAAACCTGAAGCCATGATGGGTTATCCATCGGTCCATAAAGCAAACCAATTGTTCTGGGGATCTTCGAGGGTGGGAGGTTATCATGAAGTCCATGCAAGGAGACTTTTGGATCATGTTGACTCTGGCAAAACTGTAAGAACTCCCTCGAGAGGAGAGACCTATGATCCATTTCGGAATATGTCGGAATGAGACCAACTTTTGGGGCTTTGTAGCACAAGCTTTGAGCAAAGTATTCCACCATCTCAGGATCTGATTGCTGCCTTGAAGTCTTCCTCATCCAAATCATCGATCAGAGGATACATGAGCACCATCCTGCGAAGTCTAAGCAGATCAAGCCTTCTGTGGCATTGCAAACTGGAAGATCTCAAAATGACAATTCGGGAGGAGCGCAGCCGTGCAGCCTATGCACGACTGCTTTTGGGGCAAACAGGAAAACTAGACCTTTGACCTACGGTTTTCACCTTGGGCGCACTGTCTCACCTCCACCGCACGCCCCCAGCGCAGCTCCTCCCCATGGTCTGCTGGTATTTCACCTGACGAAACGGGCCTGTCTCAAAAAGGAGGGCCCAGGTGGGCAAACACATCAGCACATAGCGGCACGATGTAATGACAACAAATGCTTTCATAGCTAGAAGCTACTAGTATCAAGGGCATCGCTACTCGTAGCTCCTGGCATTACTACTAGGAACAAGAAGCTACTAGTTACTAGTAGCTAGAAGCTATACTAAGTAGGATCACCCCCGACCGGCCCGGAGCCCGGCCCGGAGCTACAATGACCCGCGCGCTTCGGAACTGCGCAGCTGACATGTCGCTTGCGGGACGGCGTCACTCGTGTCGCCAAGAAACCCCATTCACTTCACCGGACTGCCTGGGCGGAAGTTGGGGGTGGGCGAAGCGACCGGTGCAAAGAGAACTTGGTACACTCCCCGTGAAATCATCGTGGATTTGGAAACTACCCACCAGTTTGTGGAGGAAAATGGTCTAAGAGGCCATTCCATTTCGAGTGTTCCAAAGTGTACATTTGGGGTGCCACCAGCGATCTGACGAAGAACACCGAAGAACAATGTTCGATGTTCACTGGCAAACAGGACATGACAGACCTTATACAGACCAGTCGTCAAAGAAACTGCCCATTGGTCTCAAAGAGTCTCACAGAAACTTCTGAGGTGGCCTTCCAAAGGCCTCTAAATCATGACATGAGGTATCCTGTGGGGTATACCTGTGGTTGGGACAAACACAACATCTCATGAGAAAACTTCAGATGAGCCAGAACCCTCGCCGTCTGAGCTTCTGGCTCTGCCTTCCCCACATTCCACCTGGCCGAATCCGCGACGTCCCAAGCAGTCTGTTTTTCCTGTGCAATCATTCAAGACTTGATTGGGATGGAATGGCTCGGAATGAAACTCCAGCGCAAGGATTTGATTGGAACTCTTAACTATAGTTAGTTTGAAAAGAGCGAATGGCTCTGCCCACTTCTGTGAGAAGCTTTAACCTGTAATCACCTATCTTCTTCGAGCCCGGTGTGAATCACATCTTGCGACTGCATAGCACTCCGCGCCACAACACCGCAACACACTGCTCAACACGGCCTTTACAATGACACTACCTTGCATAGAACATCACGTAGAACTCCCGGTTCTTGCATGACGAATCCACCACAGCATTTAATAATTCAATAAATCTGACATCATTGTCTAAATTGCTGCACGCTTCTATATAATGCCCACGACCTGAGTTTTCCTTGTTCGGCCACGTCGTCGCTTCTTGCTTTTGTCCCTACGGTGCAGTCGTGTCCTCTCGCTATAATACGCTTCTTGCATTGGGGACCAACCAAGTTGTGGCTCAGTGTCAGATCATTGCGAGGGGCAAAGAAAGAAAGGTTCTTGCATGATATGCATAACAAACACAGAGCTGCTGCAAGAACGCTCAACATCCCGAAGCATATGGTTGGCAACCCCGTCCATCACCCTTAGGTAGCCAAACCATTTGAAGAGAGTGTAGCACCGATAGTACACACAAAGCATAGTATTGGATTTCTCCGGGCGTCTGACGTCTGAAGCTACACCTGTGCTTAGCTTTTGTATATTGTGATGCCCTGTCGGCATTACGTTCAAGGCATACATGCCAGAGGGGACGTTGACTGAATAGGCTGTTATGCTGTACATGTCATATATATATAACTCATATAATTGATGCATATGCCAATGTGTGCCACAAAACACTAACGTTTGTCAATCACCTTTTATGTACACATTATTGCGAATACTGTATATACACTTGTATATACGTATTGTGCTACTTCTAATCAGTGGCTGCGTGCGGAACCTACTCACACAAGACATCGTGTGGATTCCCGTGGTATGAGCGGTCTGGTGCTACACGTTCCATTCCATTGCTCCGCAGTAGAAAGAAAAAGAAAACAAACTAAAATGTTGCTAAACGTACATCGAATGTTGTTTTGAGCAACGGCTACTACCACTCAAATTTATGAGGAAAATATTGAGGAATGAAAATCTGAAACGAGCACAATCAGCGCTGTCGGAACAGGCACCTGCCTGTACACGACAGGAAAGGATCCTTGGATGATCGCATTCAAATCACAAGCCGCTTCGGTTTGCGTATATTATGAGAAGAGTCGAGTAATGAAAGGCTGTCAGGCGGCTTAGGCGGAAGACTCGAGGTTCATCAACCTGACGCAGCAGTCCAAAGCCAAGCAATCAGCACCAAAAGACTCCATGGTTGCTCATCTAACCACCTCATTGGAAACATACACATGCACAGTATTGCACAGTACAAAAGTAGCCTCGCTCGGGTTTGGCTCACAAAGGCAACATGATTATTGATCCATCCATGTTCCATTGGCACCTAACGACAAGTGTAATGTTATTCGAAGATACACAGTTTTGAGTCACAGCTACGTGGGTGTGGTTTACTGAGTCATCGATTGGGAAATGTGGAATAATGTATATACTCTGGCCGATACAGGTTCCAAAGGGGTGGTTTTTAATTTCTTGTCAATATCATCCCTTCAAAAACTGAGAGGAATTGGTTTTCGAGCAACACCGAAGAACGCAGTGCCTCACCTGTGCCACTTGCGTAGGTGTCTCCGTAGAAACAGCCAACGATGCTTCAGCGCCAGGCAGTCCCTGCGGGGGCCATCGCTGAGAAGAGAATTAAGCATCAGCCTAGAGTAGATGAGCATGTTTCATTGTAAAAACCCTAGATCTGAATCAGTCTTAGTATTGCTAGGACCAGTTGGACCTGCCACCAATGTCCCACCCCATCTACTCGGGAAGGACGTATTCCACCAGTTTGACAGAAATAACCACATGGCCAAGATGTGTGAACCCTCCTAAAACGTGGACTTAGTAAAGTTTTGTGAATATTTGCGATGAGAAGTAGCTACAGCCAGTGCTAAGCAAGCTACAGCTGTTGCTCACATGTGTGGAGGGGTTCTTTTGGGCCAAGAAACAACAAAAGTGATCAAACACAGGACCTCAAGTCAGGGGATTGATGATTTCACTTTGCAAGAGATGACTTGACTCAACAAATTTGATCTATGTTATATCTCGTTTAGACTACTTAAGTAGGAGGTCATGTCACAGTATCTCGTTCAGTCTTCTTTAGTAGCAGGACACATGTCATCATGTTTACAACTCGTGCTGTGAAGTCAGTTGAGCGCGCACACACACAGACACACACACACACACACTTTTCTAGCTCGAGCTAGCACTGTCACTGGAGTTCGAGGGTTGAGAGGAGCTTTGCTGCGCTGCAGCCAGGGATTGCGGCTTTCGCTCGTGGTATTTTTTTCGAGCTTTCCTTCTGCTTTGCTGCTTCTCCAATTTCTCCATCGTTGACGTTCGTTTTCTGACAGCTTGGGCCACAGCTCTTTCAACCTTACTTGCTGCATAAGGTCGAGAAACAAGGATGGGGCTATCCCTGTGCCTTCAGGAATCACTCTTGGATCTCGTTTGGATCTCGTTCAGGACAACCAAAAACTTTGTCGAGGCATTGGCTACAGCCCATGTTGAAAACGCTCAAATGCTCTAATTCCCCTTTGGATGGGCAAGATGTCAATCTTGCACCTCTCTTCTTACCTTCCTGCACTGTCAGCACCCAAGCACTGGTTCCTTCACGGTACCGGCGCTCTTCCCATAGGCAGAACTGCAGTCCCATCGCAACGCACAAAAGCATACAAAAGCAGGCAGCCTCTATACACACCTTACACCCTCTAGGCTTGAGCTGCCAAGATCTGTGCAATGGCAAGCACTGCATGTGTGCATGGTTGTCTCTTGAACATGTTATTTACCTCAATATCCAAAAGATCTGCCTTGGTTCTCCTTGCAAATGGTCGCATGCTCGCTGGCCAGACATTGCTGTCATCAAAAAAGTATCTCGTTTATGTGGGGGCCCTATCTCGTTCACAAGCTAATCTCGATAATAGACAAAAAAAATAGAGCACGCCGTAGACTGCTTTAGTAAAGCCCAAATAAAAGTGGTTGCGCATATGTGTGCATCAATGTTTGGGTTGGATGTTCCACAAATTCCAGTGATTGGAGGGATTTGGGAAAGGTTATACAGTTTTCAGACCGCGCCCAGCATGAGTCATCCCACCTCCTGATCTGCCATGAAGCTCCTCTGGGGGCTGGCAAGCCCACACGCGCGCGCTGCGCGCGGCCGGCCACGCCCCCTGTCCAAAAAATTTGAGCCGGCAGTTCAACGGTTCAATGCTCAACGGATGGATGGTTCAATTTGATCCTCCAGCAAAGCGTTGTACTTTGAATCATCAGGCAATCCATAAATGCCATAAATACTCTCGGTGTCTTCCATTAGAACTACACAGACACGACACCGTGGCAAACCCAACGCTGCTTGGTCACTCAGCCGAGCAGGTCCGCGCCAGCTTTGCGCGCGGGCGCACCGAAGAAGGAATCTGCCTCGAAGAAGGCTCAACTTGTGCAGCTTGCAAAGCTGAAGGATTGGAACCAGGCTACCGGAAGTTGTGACCTGACTTTGGTCAGCTATGCAAAGCCAATAGCGAAAACACACATTATATAGTCCTGTTACGTCACATCATCACACCCACATTGTGTCTATCTACTGGAAGCTGGAAATGGATTGAGCACTTTTGATCATGAAGCTTCAATGTCCTTTTATTCACTTGCCAGGTAGTGGCAGCACAGCTGACCAGTAAACACTCCCAGCATCAAAGAGCACTGGCACACAGTGATCTGGCAACTACTACATACTGCTACACATGTGCCTTGAAGAACTTTGGGCACATGTCATTGGACATCTAGTTGATCTATGCGGCAGTAAGCGGAAGGCAGCGGAAAAGGCCGCTCTCCACCTGTGAGGTTCAGTCTCCATTGAGACCCTCATTGGAAAAGACAAAAAACACTTCACAGCATTTCTTGCAAAGCCAGGCCAGCGTCAAGCCGTTTCGATCAAAACGATCATCTTAGAAACTGCTTGGAACACTGCCTGTTCCTGCAGAAAGCTCAAAAGATTGAATTCCACAGAGTTGCACACTCGGCGAATGGCAAAATATGACATTTTTTGGAGGGCGGAAGAACTTTCAAGAACCTAGCCTGTACGACAACCATTGATGACTGTTGGCCGACCATTTGCCTTTCTGAGCGAAACATTTGAAGACTTATAGTTATGGTATGTTATGGCTTGCCGTGGTTGCGCTATTTCCAGCATCCTTTACTGTACTCATTTCCTGTCAACTACCGCAAGCCTCTCTCATAGCTTAGGCTATTTGTATCTGGACGCTGGTGACTTTTACAGTTGTCGTTGGTTGTGCTTGCTGCTTTATGTCTACAGTATAGAGTCAATTCTGGTTGTTCCTGTTGGTGCTCTTGTTGTTCCTGTGTTTGCTTTTCTCGTTTCTCGGCTTTGTCTGCAACTCTTCTATTCACATGCGCCGTTCACTTCGGGACTGGATTGCAGCCAGAAGCCGGCATCCCTGCCCAGACCTGGATGAAGATGAGAACACACGTGAGCGTGGGTCAAAAACCCTTGCAGTAGTCCCAAAGTGGTTAATCAAAAGGGAGGAGAACCATAGGGCCATCATAGGAGACCAAAACTAATTGAAAACAATTGAACACAACGACGAATCTGGTGAACTGACGGCCTTCAAATTTGGATCCACATGGTTTCCAAGCTTCTAGTGGGCCGACTAGTGGACCATTCTTCTTTTGAACTTTTGGACATCCGCAACTTTTTGCAGCAAATGCTCTGAACCACATTGCTGAATCCGTGGATCATATCCTCCAAATGGCTTGGGCTTGTCTCAGTCACTGGTGACTAACACTTCTGTGAGATACGCAAAAAACAACCAAACATGACCCACACCGATACATGCCCACTTGCTCTTGCTCTCTTGCTCTTGCCCCCTTCCATTGCGATCCCCCAGCGGTCCCGCGGGCCTCTCTTGAAGGTACGGTTTCTCCTTTTAGTACCTGGAACACGAGAAACATGGTCGTCCGTACATGTCGGCAGAGATTTTGAATTTAGACGGGTTTTCTTCACAGATGGGTTTTGGGGTGAATCGCTGGACGGTGTGGATTTGGCAACCCTTCCTATGTCCCACAAGACATACACAACGGCCAATTCAGACTCGACATTCCCTTTTCTATCCATTTCTCCTCCCTGCTCCAAAGAGCTGTGAAATGCATCAGTGAGCAGTCGTGGCCGATTGGCAACGCACTTGATTCAATGTGAATGATGTAAAATATACTGTAACGCTCGTTTCATTACTCCGCAAACCCGGGTGGTAGATTCGGTGCCAAGCAAACACGCAGTCCCGCGGCGTTGGTCTTTGGAATAGACCCGCAAGGACACAACTCATTGCAAGCATTTTCAATCGATCAATTTCGAGCCTGCGTGTGCTCCATGAGCACCGCCTGCAAGGGCAGGGAGACGGAGAGACTAAATGTTGATCCTCCCATGATTCTCCCTCCACTTGAGGTGAGTCTCAAGAAGCTAGAGGCCCCCCCCCGGCGCATCCCCCCGGCATACCGTCAACAGCTCAAGGAATTTAAACAAGCAATCCAGTGGTTGGGTACTAGGCAAGCTCAGTGGAGTTTGTTGTGAAAGGGGTCATCTCGGTCGCTTCACAGCTGAAAGAATCCTCAGCAGTTGGGACATTAGCCAACGGAATGAAGTCACACACCAACATCTCAACTGAATGAAAGTTTCTTTTAGCAAAAGGACAATCACAAGTAAGCAACTGGAGGATACGCTTGGGATCGTGTCCGGCCTCATCCTCGATGACAGAGCCAGGCATTGCAAAGGATCCTGGCAAATCGGACTGAGATGGACTGAGGTCATCACGTGTGACATGTTTGCAAACATATCATATGCAAACATCAAAATGCAAAAAGGATCGACAGGGGAAAGCATCTAGGTTGCCAAAACGTTGGGAAGGGTCGACAGGACCCCCCAAGCAACCCGTGTTGGTTGGACGAACAACCCGTGTTCCAAGGTCTCCACAAGCAACATTCCTTCACGCTGCTTGGCATGGGGCACGGGCAAACAGTCAGCTTTCACTGAATATGCATTATAGTTTCATACCATACTCTGGTTGTGCTTCTAGGGTGTGTTCCTTGAGTGGTATCTGTTGCTGGGCAGGCCGGTTGATAACTGCATACCCCACTCTAGCCGCTTAACGTTCAGTCCTTAAGGGAGTGGAAGTAATAAGACAAGTTCCGAAACTAGTCCAAAGCGTGATTGATTGTTTCGTTTGGAATAATAGTTGTTTTTTTATGTTTTTTTGTTTTCGCCAGGGGAGATGGTTTTTAGATATGTTTCCTCACTGTTGTACTTTCTACTGCTTAGGTGCTGGCTGCCTTTCAGACCTTTACCTAACCTCTTCTTGGAACTCTGAACAGAAACCCTATTGAACAAAAAAAATCAAAAAAACAAAACATTGTTCCAAACAACTTTTCAAGGGGTAGTGCACAAACCTATTGCCCCAACTTGAAGCCCTCTGGGAACAATCTAAGCTTAGCGTTCCATCGTTCAGCTATTGTTTCCCTTGCTATCCTTGCCTAACCTCAGCCTGTCTTGCTGCAAGTGCTACTGATATTGCTACTGCCCCTGCTTCTGTTACTGCTGCTACTAGTAGACCTCCTCCTGCTAGTACTGCTACTGCTGCTGGTATACAACTACAACTACTCCGACTGCGACTGCGACTGCGGACGGTGACTACTAGTACGACGACGACGACCACGACCACGCCCACGAGGACGACTACTACTAGGAGAATACTTTTGGCTGTCTACTTTTTTGTAAAAGAGGGTTGGCCGCTTACTAGTTAAGATCCAACATTACCACTCAAAGTCTGGGAATGTCCTCTTGATGCCGAATTTCTAATTTGGACCATCCACATTAGAGGGCCTCCAAGCGGAAACACATGAGGCTCGTATTCGGATCGTTCTCATTCTTGTAACCAAGGAACAGAATACCCCAACTGTTTGATGATGTTTGATCCTTGAGACAATCTAAACCCATAATTTAAACCATAAATGTTCATAAAACCGCATGCCCAGCCCTGCCTGGAAGGAGTGCTGCGCCATCTCCAATCCTGTCCAAAAGCCAGCCATATATCCGTCTTGAACCAAAAATTGATGAACATGGAGATGGAAATTGCTCAGAAATGCTGAAGGTCACCAAAAGATTCTTATGCTGTCCAGTGGTCGCATGCTGCGTGCAAGGATCTGATGCTGTCCAATCGGTCCACATCCAAACTGTGTAAAGCTGTGACACTTGCAGAGTCGGAGTTGACAAGGTTGCAATGGGTCATGGTACATGAGATTCTGTGGGGCGGTGTTAACCTACCACGGAGTATGGTAGGGGCAATGTACAACAAATATGAAATGCCAGTGGCACCACATATGTGAACAAGCCTCCTACCTGAGTCACATGTGACCTCGTATGACTCAAGCCTGGATCTTCGAAGCGGCACAAATAACTGCCTTTTCAATTGTGGCGGGGTAGACACCAAATAGCGGGTGTATAGATTTGTCATCCCTGGCATGACATGATGTCATCCCTTGCAAGGCATGATGTCATCCCTTGCATCGCATGATGTCATCCCGGGCGTGACATGATGTCGTCCCTGGCATGACATGATGTCATCCCTCGCATGACATGATGTCATTCTGAGCATCACATGATGTCATTCCTGGACCGGCACCAGCACCAGCACGGCAGCAGCACCGGCAAAACGAAATGCCAATCCAGAGCCACACCATTGAGAAGTTAGAACCCCTATACATATAGCCTGCAGCTACAGTATCTGACTATCTGGGGAACAATGCCGTTATATACGGTATCTTTTCCCAAAGATGGCGTTTTTTGTTGTGACCAGGTGGAACCAGAAGAAACCAACAGAAACGGCAGGCATCTAAACTTAAACGGCGTCTTTCGGCGTCCAAACGGCATCTTTCCCCGCCCATGGATTTTGAGCACATGTTTGCAACCCAATAAAACGGCAATGTGCTTCTTTATTACAGTGCGGCACGGCGTCTTTTCTCTGAAAAATGTATCCGGGAAACAATTGTGCCGTTTGAAGATCCAGGACATATAATCATATATTTGTGAAGCACTCTGCGAGACCACACCTGGTGGGTGCGAGCTTGATGACCATGTTCTCCACAGTGTGCCCAGTGGTGTCGCACCTCATCCGTTTGAGAGAGTCGGCACAAAGCCCTTTTATGATGGCGAAGGCCAAAATATGCAAGAATCACCTGAGCCACAACGCCTTATCTTACATGGGATGACTGCCCCCCAGGTTGGGCTACTTGGTCTACTGAGCGGTCTGCTGCTCTCAGAGCATTTGGAGAGGTTCAATCAGTTCAATCTCTCGATATCTAAAGGGCTGCCAAGCTGCCCGGAACCAATCGCGACGTGGTCACCTGCAGTTTGACTTCTTTTTGGATGGGGCGGAACTGTGCGGAAGGGTGAAGGTTGGAACGTTATGCAAAGTGAGGGGAGCGATCAATCACGGGTGAAATCAATGAACCAAACTGCATCACCTGTGTTTTAACCACAAAACAAACACATGGTCGGAACGGTGCGCCTATACTTAGCAGGTCGTATTCGACGATGAGGCCACTTAGGTAGCAGTCCTTTTCGGCCGATGAGAAGACGACGTCACGGGGCGGGAAGGAGACTGAGACGCAACGACGCCACCCCAATGAACAGGACCCATCCATTGAGATCCACTGGATGTACTTTAAATTGAGCGAATGATTAATGGGCACCTGATACCCAGTCAATCACAAGTGAAAACAGCAAGTATTTGCTTCACAGCTGTACTTAACTCGCAAATCCTCGGAGCTCGGAAGAACAGCTCGCTTTGAATGACGAAACCAGCTGACCCCAGCTCAATGACTGCCCAATCCAAAAGCTTTTGCCATTTATGTATTTGCAACCATCGATCTGACTGACATGTCGACAGGTGCACGAAAACCTTTACAACCTGTGGCAATACGGCGCTTTGACACGCCGAACATCGGCTTGGCAGGTTGACGAAACTTTTGGCATCTTTTGGCATGTTGACTGCACGGATCCCTGTGGCAATCGGTGTATGTGTCCAGCTTCAATTAAATCAACTTGAGATAGCTTCAGTATCAAGGTTCAAGTCACATTTAACTCATACTTATCATTGCATTCTGTCACATTTTCTTTCTTTACACCAAGTCCTTTCCGACTCGTGCGCCGCAGGCTCGAGCCACCCAAACCTGCATCTGAAGCGAGTCCAGGACTGACCGGGGGTCCTTGGGGTGCTAAGATTCATCGAACCTACCGAAATCATCCTATAAGTTATCTGTAAACCAATAGATTGACAAAAATTGCCACTGCTTTGTTTAGTGTTCTCGATATTCAAGCAATGCATTGGCAGTCTGTTCGTCAGTCTTGTCGTCAGGTGAAAAGCCATAGTATGTTTAACATACTGCACTATTGCTTTACAGTGTTTCCGTACTGTGTAGCATGAGTAGATGATCATTTCACACCAATATCTTGAGGGAACAACGTGCAATAGCATCAAAACAATTTGCTAAAAAATGCACATCAACCCCATCTCTCTGTCTCGAATCTGTCTTGTTCTATCTCGTAACAGGGTCTTTTGAGACATCATTTTTTACAAAGGGTCAGGATCTAAACATCACTGCTCTCGCCCCCTTTTTCTTCTAATGATGTTATTTCAGTAGTTCCTGGTTTTACGCAAAAGCCAAACTGGATGTCTGCAGTAATATGGGCATTCTGTGTTGTAAGTACAGTATAGATTTTAAAAAAGCTTTGGAATCTCACCCGCTTGATAAGATAAACCGCACACCCTTCAGAATCCGAAACAACCAACAGCGTGGCTCAAAAGATTGACACGTGCAAAACGTAGCAATACCTATACTGTATATCGTGAACACTTGTCAATACAAGAAGCTACTAGGAGCAAGGCCATCGCTACTAGTAACAAAGGGCATCGCTGCGAATGGAGCAACTCAACTGGTATCAAGAAGCCACTAGTGCCACTAGTCGTTCTGACTCTTCCCAACCTCAAAGACGGTGCCACGGAGGCAGTCTTGAAGCGCGCTGATTCCTCGAAGGCGTGCAGAAATCAGCAAGCGGTGTGGTCCCTGTGAGATGGCGCAGTTCTTCACCTAAGAAACCTTGACTAGGATCTACCTGCCTAAGTGATTCAAGTGATGGACACACGTCCACACACCAGGTGGACCTGGTGTGGTGCAAACCCGGCCTGTGCCGCAAATCATCATGATCATCCAGCGCGTCTTAGCAGGCAAATGAATGCATCTGGGAGGCTGCCACACAAAACTTCTAATCAATAATTACAGTATCGAAAACTACTTCAAAAACTCCATGCTCGTGAAGAAAGGATAAGACCGTTTGCGATTCCCGCCCACAGTCACCGTTCAGATCCGTTCAGTGGGCCGTTGAGCACACTCAAATTGCCATGCAGACCTTTCTTCCCCACTGGTGCAGCGTTGCGACGTGATAGGAACCGAAGAACTTATATTCTCCAGCCTGCCGAGGCCGTGAGGGTCAACCCCACCATAAAGCAAAAAAGAATCTGGACGGCTGTTTCAAACCTTTGTGTAGTTTGGGGGACCTGAAAAGGATGATGCATTGATGCTTGATCTAGCAGTGGAATTGAGTAGTTGACTTTGTGCTCCAAAACCTTACGAGCTAGCAACAGTAATGCACATACCAGTAGCCTAAGTTGACTGCGCAGGCAAGCTCACATTTCAAGTCAAACAGGCAATAAGCCATCATCATTAATCATTAATTGAACAGTATAATCATATGTTCCTTCCAGTTGCCACTGAGCACCTTGTACTTGCCGATGACAAGCCACTTGAGCGCTATATTCATCAAAAGCCTTGCAACATGTGTTCCTGTTTTTCGCACATGTGTCTACAAATTTCACAAAGTCTTGCCGCCAAAGCCACAAAACAAGCTCGATGAAATTGTAAACCTTGCATGACTGGGTAGCAGGAAAGGCTACCGTCGCACATGTGATCTGCTAAGGCTTAAACAAATGGAGTGAAAATCAGCAAGCTGAGCACACCATCCTCAGCTCCAAGATTCCAACACTGCCAAAGACTCAGGGCCTCCAATCTCCATAGGTCTCTGAGGTTTGTTTAATGGTGCACGTCTCCCCTGCTCTGTTTGTGCCAAGCTTAAGGACGGAGCAAGCACTGAGATCGTGGTGAACGTTTCAAGCAATGTGTTCCACAAATGTTCCACCTGTTGTGTTCAAATGCCCAGCTTCACTTTCGAAGTCCCAAACGGACGTCACGCCAAAGTATGTGGCCACCCAGGCGGCTTCCGGGATCGGTGTGGCCAACCTGCACCGAGCTGACCAACCGGAACAGCTTAGAAGCAAAGGCCGCCTGGGAGGGTGAGAAAAAGAAAACATCTTATGGTTTAATGATGTTTAGTGATTAAACGGAGATGTGACACATACGATACTGACAGCAGGGCACAATAGGCGTCCCAGGATGTCCAGTTTGTCGATGGCTGAGCCCGCGGGCTTGACATGTTCAGCCGAACCTTTTTTTGGCAGTGTCATGCTTCCAAAGCAAACTGCTCTCCCCGCATGCACCAAACACCAATAGAAAGGATGGGTTTTGCTTACCTGAATGCAGGTCTCATGCTTCGCTGTTGTTTGGATATTAGATCCCATGCTTCCAAGTCACAAGATCGTCATTATGATGACAAAGTTGAACCTGTCGCCGCTCACACGTCCAAGACCCAAGCAAGTTGGACACAACAATACACAGGGGTGGCCCAGCCCACAACCATTGGTAATCCACAACGGTTGTTATATAGTTGCCAAGACCCCAGGACCTTGAGTATCCTTTGATGACCTGTAAAAAGAACTACGCCGGGTTTGCGCCTCCACCATGTGAGTGGATTGTCTAAGTCTTGCATGGTCTTGTCCTCGAGTTCCTGAAGTATCGAGGCCAACCGAAGACTGATGGCGATATATATATATATACAAATAGCTTGACAGGGGAAAGTCAAGGACATGTTGACATGATGGAATACAAGCACTTGTCCACGGCCCTGTAAGACATTGCACTAAAAGAATCAAAAAGGGCAGGTAGAGATGCAAGTAGGATGATGTGAACGAGATCTACAGGCCACAGGAGGCTCCCTCCTTCATGATTTTAATTGAAGTATGGGACTGGCTCAACACCAAACACCAAAAATGCAGGGGTCACTACAACCAGGGTAATATGCACCATTTATCTGCGATAGTTTGGCAGTCGTTTTACACTAACCAAAGTCATCCTGGCGTGTGGATGTGGGGCTGCTCAGTTTTCACCTATCTGAAGATACAGAAGGCACAATGAAAATAGATGTTGTGTAACTTGTAAATCTAGTTTGGCGGTTGTTCAAAGAAACAAATCACAGGGATGAAAGTACAAGTGACATCAACCAACCCGTTTTCTTCCAGCAATACAGGAAAGTTCCTGATTTGTTTGTTTACCTGAAATATCCTGAAATCATAACTCATTTCTTGAAATAAGCCTTGGAAACCGAAGTCCAAGTGCTGGCTGGGCGCCCGCATGGCGGGAGAGGCGAAGTAGTCCCGCAAATGCATGGAGCGGCCTCGCTGGCTTCCCGAATGGATGGCCAGGGGAGGATAATAACCTCAGAGTCAATGGCCGTGGAACTCATTGACCACAAATGTGCAACATATGTACATATTTCATCTTGACTGCGTGGCACACACAAAAAGAACGAGGAGACCACGCAACGGAGTCTCTTTTGTTCCGCCCAAGGGGCTACCCGCCGGAGCCAAGGTACAGGTCCCCAGCACCGCCTCGAGCAATGAACGGCCCGCGAGGCGCGAGGTATCGCTACCGTGATCCTTTCTGACAATACTGTTTTGATCCGTTTAGGGTTCTGCCCCATGCTCTTATGTTTTGATATGTTTTCTACTTTGCTCTCCCAAGGAAAATGCACTACTGCCAAGATGCTCGCTCTGCAACTGTGACACCAGGAAGGAGTGTGCAGTGGTCTAGGACGTTCGCTGCATTGCAGATTTTGATGTCTGCAAAGCGCTGCTTTGGTCCTGCATCCAAACATGTCTAAACCAAGTAAATGCCATCCAAAGAGACCTTCAGTTGCGGAAATCCTTGCTACAATCATGTTCATCATGATACTGTATATTTATTATGTCTCCCGCATTCTTCCATTGTTCTCCGATGTTCTCCCTTCCATCATGTTCTCCGTGGGCTCAGCTCAGAAGTAACGTAGACCTTACACCCTTAGCAACACGTCTCAACAAACCAATCAGGTCCACGCGCACTGGCCTCGCTTCTTATCCATTTTTCTGCTGTACTCCAGCGGAACCCAGGGTGCGTGCATGTCTGTGCACAGCATGACTTCACTGCCAAAGACCACGTAATCATCAATGTTCACGCAGTCGTTTTCAATGAAATGTAGCCTTGACGCAGAAAACTTTGGACGTGACTTGCGCAAAACAACCCATGTAAAGGCCGTTTCTGAACTTGTCAGCCTAGCCTTTCGAACCGGTTTCACTGGAGCAGCATCCTGGCCCGTTACGAACTCCAACAACGAGCGTCGGCCGAGAAGCGGCTGGTAAAGGAGCAATTTGGGAATTGTATATCATATAGTATCATACATACAAGCAATACTGATAGACGTAAATCCTTTGGTTTGTGGATCCTCCGGTGTTCCCATCTTAAATCCACCGGTTTTGGGCTTCACCTCACTGCTCGTTGAATCCCCATGGTGATCAACACGGTGCTTGGTCCAAGCAGCTGATCGATCTGCACCCGTCGTCCGATCTTGGTGCCCAAGGCCCGATAGATGTACGAGAGGAACTCCGTGTTGGTAAAGAGTTCGCAAAGCTCCTGTAGAAGAACTCAGTGTAGAAGAACTCGTGCTTGTTCGCAGAGTCATGATTCAATGATGTTCTGGAAAACATGGAAAGTCAGAATGATCCATTCTTCTGTACGTTTCATTTGAACAGGTCATGGTCCCCAGTCACATGTGCAACTTTTGCAGACTCCACAATGGTGCCACTCCTCAAAGTCATGTGACTCCACAGCGCGGCCATGGACCCAATGTTTCCACTCTTTCCAGTGGCTCAGCTCATCATTCTTCTGCTTTCGGAAGTCGCCTACCGAAAAAAGCGACGGTGCTAACGGAAGTCCGTGCGCGAGTCGCGAGTCGCTGGACATGTGCCTGCAGTATGGCCAAGTCCATGGGGTGAAGAAAAGAATTGTTCATTGAGAACCGTCAACCTATATAATTGTGTCACACTGCCAGGATCAACAAAATGTTGCCAAAGATCTAATATTCCAATGACTGTGGTGACCCCAGACAATCCCCAGTCATCTCTCGAGATGTTTTCTGTGTTGCTGCCTGTAAAGTACTGTAAAGGCCAAAGCCCCCCCAAGAGTACGCACAGCTTCAGAGCTTTGGGCGCCTATGAGGAACCACTTTTGCAGAATCACGACGACCATGCGGAAGAACCACATCGGATGAGCATAGATCCAAGAGAGCAGAACACTCCATATGGTAAAGGCAGTGAGAGGGTTGTCATCATATAGACCATCGTAGGTCCACACTAGGACAAAATAGGTCGCGTAGTACCTTACGTTGGACTTCGGCTGTGAACTCATACTCAAGCATGCTGAATTCCCTTTTCATTGTTAGCAACACTGTTAGACTCCTAGACAGAACAAAAATCAAACCAAGAAGCGGGAGGACCTCCGCCATCAATACAGCAGGCAGGCCAAACACAATGCGCAAAAGGTTTTGCCTCCGATGAAATTGTTCCTGAGATGGCACCGGACACATCCAAGCCAACAACTGTAGAGTTGTCTATCTATATCAGTCCAATATTGCAATATTGGACTATGCTGTGTGGATGGTCAAGCAAGCTCAAGAAACCCTATGGGGATGAAACACAAACTCAAACCCAATGCGGTGCCATACTAGCGACGGGGTTTAGTCACCCGGGTTTGCAGAAAGTCACCCGGCCGCATGTAAACGCAGCACTAGTCAAAAGTCACCCGGCTTGCACAAAGTCACCCGTTTTATGTTAAAACACCATGTGAACACTCTACGGATGTATGGTTGTCAAAACTGCTAAACATCAAGAATTCATTGCCCCTGTATCCACCTACCCACGTCGATGATCTTCAAATCACTTTTTGGTCACCTTCCCTCTAACCTGCATGGAAACGAAGCATCCAAATCATCCAAACAATGGTTGAATGGTGTTGAACTGATATTCCAAAGCCTATCTTCCAATGAGATTGACATCGTGCACCTAAACCGCATGTAAACGCACTGTTGTTGACCTGACACTCTTCCAGTTATATTGCCATCTTGCATCTAACCCCAATGTAAACGCAGCATCCAAACGACTTTCTTTAAGACCAGACGACTTAACACAGGTGCTAGTAACATGCACCATCATGCACCTGCCTGCATTCTTGGCTTTCACGCGTGACCGAAGCTACATGACAGTATCAAATATATACATTCAAATCTTAGATCTACCATCTAGCGTAATCTAGCACAGTATACCCTATAGATCCTCACTCCAATCCACTGTTGGCTTTCCTGTAAAAAGGAGCCTAGAAAGCCTCATTCGGTTTGGTTCACAAAGGGAACCCTGCCCCCAGGAGCAGCAATATGAATCGGATATATTCATCCTTTTGGGAGATCGCCCCAACGTTTCGCAGGCTTCCGTTCCAACGTTTGCCTTCCGTGCCCAGTGGCGGAGGCTCGGGCCGGCTGGGCATCATGGAAGGCCACGGACCCCACGGGGCCGTGCCAGCCTTGGGTGACAAGCTTGTTCCGTTGTCTCCTTAAGAATGTTTAGCTATGTTCTGCTGGTCCATTTTATGGGGGGACCATATATGTACCTCAAGTGTTTGCGTCACCGACAGTCCGTTTCTTTTGAGGCACATGTGCATGTTAAGTTACAATGTCGAAGGGCCAAAAGTACTGGTACTAGTAGCGTCCTTGCTCCTGGTCCTAGTAGCGATGCCAGGAGCCCCTAGTAGCTTCTTGCTCCTAGTAGTAAGGCCAGGAGCCCCTAGTAGCGTTTACAAGTTCTACGTCTCAGAAACTCAACTTCAAGGAAAGACATCCCCTGCGAAGAAAATAACAGAATAGCAAAGCAAACGTGCAAATAAAGCAGCAGGAAATATTCCTAAAATCTCCTAAGCCACAACTTGTCCTACTCCTTCTATCAGTTCCTTATCCGGTTGATTTCCTGGCCTAAAACAGTGTTGCCAAACTGGGCGGCCGTTCGATTTGCATTTCTTGTTCGACTGTCTTGTTCCCTTCCTGTTCCTTCTGCCTGTTTTGTAATGATTTTTCATTATTTTTCTATGTTACTAATTATATAACATTATATATATATGTCGATGGGATGTTTGAAGTTTGAAGCGAGTATTGTTTGTCAAATGACTCAGATCAGTCCGTAGGCATCAGATCAGTCCGTTGTCCCTGTGCCTGGCATGGTGGACAGCGGCACCACTGCCTTCCGATCAGGTACCACTGTGTCTTGTGATAAGACAGCGGTGGGCCCTACAGCCGCCCCTTCACCTGGCGTGAAGCAAGGCCAGCGATGCTCTGTGGGGGCGATGCTGTTAGCCATGCTCGAGTGAGGTGAATTTGGCAGCCCGAATCCCGTCCGGGCCTATTCGAATATAGCTCAAATGCACTTGTCCATGAAGCACGCTTGAAGTGGCCAGCTTTGCACGCTTTCCTCGGAGGGACCGCACAGACAACGGGGATTTCGACCGATGCAACGGGAAACCACGTGCCGAGGTGCCAATGGTTGCATAAGCGCCCACCTCCAAAAGGTCGGGGTCATGAAGTGCAAAAACACCTAGGCGTAGATGGAGCGCATGGTGTCATGGGGCGGGGCCATGGTGTCATCTGGTGTCGTCTGATGTCCTTGTGGTTCATCTCAATGTCGGTCCCTGCAGTGAGGCTAAGAAACCTACTGTAATGAAATCTAAACACCTGATGCTGGAGATTTGGATCGACCTGCCAATGCACCACCGCTGAGATCCGTTAACCACGGATCTTTGAGTGTCCAACCTGGAACCAGAAAGGACCATAAATGACCACAGTCTACAATGAAGTGAGACCAGAAAAACCTCTGAGTATGGACGATCAAAAGGAAGTCACAAACATAAATTTAGGAAAATCACACGGACCTGAATCCAACGCCGCACTTTCTGTGTTTTGTCTATACGAGGGACAAATCGAGATTCACCCGCGCACCAATAATACACTCGCAACCAGCTAGAACCAGCTGCATCTAAGGTCATCCAAAGTCGCTCGCTCATCTCTAGAGTTCAGCCAATGCCCAGGGCATCCACGAAACGCCGTCCTGGCCAAGATACTGATCTTGGCTCCTTTACCAATCTTCGCTCCTCAGCACAAGCAAATTCTGTAAACTTGGTGAAAGCAGGGGTCGGTTGATTTCCAGTCAAGTGTAAAGGGAACACGCCAGTGGGCAAATATTTCGATCTGTCTCTTTTCTTAAATCGAATGTATGGGTTGGAGTGTGTGGGTACACTCCCGTGATTTGGCTGGTGACCATCTCCTCCAAAATGTGCAGTCTATCCACTTCAACCTTCTTCATGTTAATGGAACGCTCCGCTGGTTGTGGACATTCATCAAATCAGGTGCCCGTAGCTAAACAGTAGCACAGTGACACAAGGACAAGGCTGAAATCTATTGCCATGATGCCCAGCGCGCGGAGTAGGCAATTTGCCACAGAGGTATCTGCGATCAGTGGCAGCGCTTGATCCAGCGAGTGTTTCAACAAGGTGTTCACGAACCACCAGCGGTAGTACTCCTCGACGAATCCAGATGCCACAAAAACAACAGTTCTGAACTATAGGGCAGAATTGTGTGAAGGCTTCGGGTTCAAGACCAACAACTGTATATGATGCAGCGAAAAATAGATGGTTCTGATGTATGTCACGGTCAATAATATATATATATATACTATTGGCAATGTTGCCAAACCAAAACAGCAACAAAAACTAAAACTCCAAGTAGATGCTTCTATGCTACACCATTGATGAGCCAAAACTGTGGATCAGGCAGCTGTGTCTATGGTTTATCTTTTATGGCTTCAGGCTGGTGCAGGATTAGTCACCTCCCGCCGTGAGGAAGCGAGGCAGGTCAGCTTCAATCCAATCCAAGGAACTCCAGACCAAAGCTCAATCTTGCCTGGAACGAGCGCTGCTTGAGCTGACCATCGAGGCAGCATCCCATCGAGGCAATGAAGAAGGGACAACTTGCTACATCTACAATTGGGCATGAATTTTGCTTAGTAGCCTAGTAGCGTTCTTGTTCCTAGTAGCGATGCCCTTTGCTCCTAGTAGTAGCTTCTTGCTCCTAGTAGTAAGGCCAGGAGCCCCTAGTAGCGTCCGATCGCTCCTACTAGCGCTTGGGACTACTGTAGATCAAAGCCTCACAGGCGATTCTATATGACATCCGACCGATTGGACCGATCGCCACATTGCCAATCTCATCCGACCTCCAACATTCCACTGAGCATTCCCTGTCCCAAATCAAGCCTGGCTTCACACGTCCGAGGATGAGCCATTTCAGGAGCACCACAAAGCTAAACATCATGACCTGCACGGCAAACAGTTGCTTTTCTCAGCAGCCAGAAAAGTGTCTGTTTCCCATTTCCGCCAAGTCACAATATCCAAGGCCGCAGCAATGGGTAAGTATACAAATAGAGCGTTTCTCCCATAGTACCTTGGCTTCAGAAAAACCGCTTGTGGTGACCCAATGAACTTTGATGAAATATACAGACATTATTAAAGATAACTAAACATTACGAAACTGATGAACATTGTAGGAATCCCAAACAGCTTATGTAATGGTGTGTGAATACTGTGTCTTGTCTCGCATTTGGGGGCCAGGCACTGTGGCTCAAAACCTTCCGGTGCGCCAGCCTGCACCGAAATCCTGCATGGGGGGGGTGTTGAGGTTGGATCATGGCACATCATGGCACTAGGCACAAGTGCCGCAAACACGTTGATGGTCTTGTTATATGTTTTTTCTATATGTTGTTTTTTCTTCGCACACTTGGAGGGGGATTATTGAATCACTCACCGGCTTGTTCACGGACATGTCTTCAAGATCCTGTCTCCTGTCTATGAGTGGTGGTCAAGTGGTCAAGACAATTGTTCGATGACTGTATGCTTCGCCACGAGGGATCTATGTCAAACTCAGCGTTGATTGAAGATATATGAGCAGCGGACAAAATTACTTGTGTAGCCAAATACCATTTGACATGATTATCGTTTTTGGTGGGGTCCATATCGTTCTCCAATGTTTCTCCAAACCGCAGTTAGCATAGCATACCGGCACATAGACTAAAACATAAAATATAACTCACAACCTCAGATTAGAGTCTTAGAGGCTTACAGTGCTTTCTGACAGGAATGGCACAGCAGTTGATTTATGCACTTGGGTTCTTGTGGCACTGGGCTGTGCAAGGATCACAACACATAAGCGGGGACCTAGTAGCTCGGCCCATGAACAAACACTAGTCACTAGTAATGTGGAGAAGTAGGTCTACGGAGTGACTGGCGCGACATTTAGGTTATCGTTTGCTTATCGTTTGGATTATCGTTTGGGAAGTTGTCTGGGGTTATCATTGGTGAAAAGTTGTGCCCATCGGTTTAGCTCAAATAAACATGCAAATGCAAATGCAATAACATATTGTAACCACAAACGTCTTTGTACCCACTACAGTACGTCTTAACAAGATTATCGTTTTTGGTGGGGACCATATCGTTTTCCACAGAAACGAAGTCCTCAACATAGGTTTAGGGTCATGCCGTGACTAAATAAGTCAACCAATAATTTTGTCCGTCGCTCATATATATATAGATGTTCTTGGTGGGCATGTCGTGGACGTGCGCTCTCCATGCGGCCAGGGCTTCTTGCTCAGTGCGGTTGACGACTGTTCTTTCTTGTGCCTCTTGGTATATACTTCAATGCAAAACAATACTTGTCTCAACTTGGCATGTGCGCGTTGCGTTCTACGGACACTTACAATACCCTCTGAAGCATTTCTTGCACGTTGGGTTCTGAAGGATTCGCTTTCAAACTCTTGTGATGAGCTATGCGGTGAGGCTTTGCTGCCAATGTGGTCTCTTTGCCGCCTTGTGTCACCGAAGCCTGCCTCAATGGTTACATGTGCCTTTTCTACTTTGTTGACGAAAAGCGCCAACGATGTGAGACGCATCGCTTTGCCATGCTTTGCCATTCACTGGGCGGTGTGTGCAGCCCATCATATTAAGCTTGCTAAGTTTCCGCGCCTGGTGTTTGGTCACTGCTTTGCCAAACGTGTACATTAAAGAATGTACTATAGATTATTGCAATAATATGTCTCTTCATCCCTGTTTTGGATCTTACCAGTAAAGCTTGATTCATCAACTGATTCTGGTTTACATTCACCTCCTAAATTTAATTGTTTGGTCATTTCTCGTTTCACAACCTTTTATACCCATTCCCGCAGCCATAGGCATTTCGCGTCGTAAACGGTTGATTCCAGGCAACACGGCACGTTCCGAGCCGAGTCAGCCGAGCGTCTCGTAGATGAACCATGCTGCCCACCAAATGGGGGACCACGCCTCGCCAACATCTTTAGGCAAAGTTAAACTGGATTGAAACATGAAACGCCAGGCACAGCTTTGGCAACCGCTACAGACCCTACATTGAGCCGACCGTCCGATCGCCTGGCTTTGAAAGAGGAAGTTCATGCAAAAGACCTGCGTAGAGTGGCCACTCTTCACACCATCCGAGAGCGGGTCTAAAGTTGGAACAACTCCAGCAACTTTACCTAATACCAATGGCCTCCCACTATTTCTCACGACAGACCATGGCAAGCAAACCCATAAACTTGAACTTTAGACTTGTGAAGTGCCACAGTGCCACCATGTGCTACCCATCACCCTAGCTTCATCTTCACAGACTCTGTGCGATATCCGATCGAAACATCCCAAGCTCGAGCTCCGGTGTCTCTACGTTGAGGCACACTGATGCCCTGGATGCAAAGCGAGCAGAAAGATGTGGAACTGCACTGAGTCCGGCGTGGGAGCTGTGCCATGGACAAGCTCGAGCTGCCTGTGGGGCCATGATGGTCCAGATGAGTTTCATCAGTCTCATGGTATCGAAGATCGAAACTTGCAACATGTTTGGACTTGATCCATTCCTCATTCAATTTGAACTGTAGTACGGGCGTGCTGTCAACACAGGCTATCCCGGAATCCCAAACTAATTTCAGTGTGGGCCCATGTGTCAATGTTCGAAGGCAAGCATGTTAAATTCATGTATTCTTGATTTTTCCCAAGCTATAAGCACAAATGGAACATCATTTGCTTGGTCCAATGATGAATCTCTCTGGAAAAGAGAAACTGAGGATCGGTCAAATGGGGCTCTCTTCCACCTCTTTGGGCTTCCGCTCCAGCATTGACTCAATGGCTCCAGCGATTCCTCGGCCAACAGCGTGTCAAAGACCGTCAATGAGTCCACGCTGAGTCCACGTTTCAAAGTTGTGATCCACAAAATTGGAGAGCATTCGATGAACATTGGGTCCTGACATGGCACTCCAGGGCTTGGAGAACATTCCTTGCAGAACCAACCGAACAATCCTCGAAGTAGTCGCTCCAAGACTCGTCGCACAGATCCCAACTGGTACATCGCAGTCCCTTTGAAGTTGCTCAATTTGAATGCCTTCTTGATTGCAGTGCTGGCCCGGCCCATCAGCAAGCTATCTGGCAAACGGAAAGACATTCGGAACAGCAAGGGTAACAAACAAAAAACAAACATGCTGGCAAGAAGGCATGTGTTTTGGATTTTGATGCAATATGATGCAATCATATTCAAGGGCACATGCGTGCCTTGCGTTTCAAACGTCTTAAACCACTTCTTTGTTGAGTTCAAGCTAGCCAAGGGATTGCCGCCTATTTTCCTTTTCGAAGTCCTACTTACAATCACCAACGAAAGCAGGAAGGCCGTTTGGGCTGCTACAAAAAAAGACCTCCTCCGAACCCTCTTGGCAGTGACAAACTGTTTTCGACTGACCGACTGGCATACAGCGTCCCAGAGGCTACGGTTTCGACCAAGCTGCTCCCACCAAGTTCCTGGAAGTCCGAGTCCAAGTGCACAGCGCTCACAGGAAGACCTGCGAGCGCTGAGCACGACCCAAAGCGCATGTGGAGTGTGGGGATGGCCCAGCCTTAGGAAGAAGGAGCTCCATAGTTGTCCTTAGCCTTCTACTAGTAGCGATGGCCTCCAACCTATACAATAGCGATGGCCTCCACCTAGTAGCTTCTTGCTACTAGTACCGATATTGGGACGAGATATGTCTTTACACACTGCATGCCTTGATAGACCCCAAGATAGCGTGCGGAGGGTGTGTACCTCTTCTGTTCTTCGTGGAACGCCAGGCCCCTTGTATGATCGCCCTCTCCTCTCACGGTTTGTACGGAACCAGTGCATTCACAATGATTGACGTGCCCAAAACACTTCTTGCCTAAGATCTCTGCAATGGTGGCCGCAGTTGTCTTCTGCACCGGGGTCTCCGGGGGGGCTCGCAGAGGCCGCTGGTGAGGTCATGGTCGGTGGCTCGGGCAGCCTGCCGGGCAGGCTGGGGAGATCCCCCGGTCAGGTGGCCAGATGGTGCCCAAATTCTTAGACTCAGAAATGCTGACTTGGAAGATCTGTCGTTTTGATGTTGCTTACAGCAAATGGGTGCGGGATCCCACTAAGCTTCAAACTCTGATGATGTTTTTTTGTTTTAATATAATATGTTTATCAATTTGATGTGGATGGATGGATGGATGGATGGATGGATGGATGGATGGATGGATGGATGGATGGATGGATGGATGGATGGATGGATCCATCGATGGATCGATATTTCAACATCTTCAGGCTCGACATTTCATTTCGTCCAACGGCCCCAGCGACCAATCTGCAATCCAGGTGCTTGGGTCGGTCAATCTTACCATTGCTATTCCTCGGCAGCTTCTCCATGCGCATGATGACTTGTGGCCTCAGGTGGCCGCCAGCGGTGACATGTGATGACTGGTCGAACTCTGAAGGGAAACGCAGCGGAAGAAGTCCAGAGTGCAGCGGATAACCATCTGGGATTGCGGATTGCCACAAAGATTGCCGAATAAAGTATATAAACAAGACTGCTCAGTTAGAGCAGGGTTCTGAACGATCAATCAAGAGTAGACATTTCGTAACTATATATTCCGACCTGCTCCAAAGGGCAGGGCTTCTTGTGTGAATCTATTCATCTGCCAGCTCCTTTGACAAAGAAAATGCTCCTACTGTAGCAACACAGTAGCTGTAGCTCAATTCTACTGGCTGTGGTTCAAAAGGGTGCCAGAATCGCGATTTTGATGTTCCGCCCACGCCGCCCATGCCGAAGCCTAAGACCATGCACACCATGCAGCTGCATGTAGGGCGGCAAGGACTTCTGGCACGAGGCGCGCACGGCCGGCTCCGGCACCTCCTGGTCCGGACCTGGCCAGGTTTCAACTGTGCCCGCAGCTTGGGAGGTCCAAGAATATGGAAACATCATGTCAACTACAGAATTACAGTAAAAGTGTGACAAAATGTTCAAACAATGCAGTATGTGTGTGTGAACAAAAAGTTAGAACAATGACAAGGCAAAATCAAAATATAACAATAACATGACGAATTGATCGTGCGAATATGTGCATCCATTTTCTCGGTGACATGTTTTTCCAGATCCTGAAAAAAAAAAGCAACGCAGGGTTCTCACAAGCTCCTCGCACCAGGCCTGGCTCATAGTAAGCCACCAGCCCCTGTGTGCCATTCCTACTCTTGCGCAAGACGCAGACCGCTGCCCGCGCTCCAGCTGCACGGCAGGCGGCTTCGATCTCGCCCAGCTCGATGCGAAAACCCCGCAACTTCACCTGGAAAGCGGACATCAAGGGGACATCGAATCGAATTTGAAAGTGGACATGGATCTCTGAGGGTCAGAAGCGAATAGGCTCTGTGTTCTCTCTGCGAACTGGGAAAATCTGGTGTTCTCAAATGGCGTAGCTTCATTGCACGCCTCCTTTTGGAACAACAAGCAAATTTAGCTGTGCCTGAAAGTCCTTGCGGCCCAGCAGGTCAATCATGCCACCTTCTCGCCAGCGTCCCAAGTCACCTGCAGCCATGGCAACATTTCACAGAATGTCACAGAATCCACAAAAACGGAAGTACCACAAAATGGAATTTGACTATGTCTTGGAATAGTGTTCCATTCTACTTCGCCATTTGCTGGTCAGCCTCCCTGCCCTGCAAACTTCTCTGCCCAAGCCTGTCATGTACAAACGATCTGAAAGCTTCGTGGGAGGAGTGTTGGATCCCTCCTGATGTCATGGAGAGCTGGCAAACTGTTCCTGACAACTGATCTACCGTGTTTCCTTTGAATAATGTCGCATATTCTGTTAACAGAAATGCAAACGGTACAATAACAGTTAAAGTACATGTTAGCTGGGTTACGTTACTTAAAAAGTCAGAGAACCAAATACTGCATGATATGGCATATCAAACCAGCACCCAAACTCACAAAACATGCACATACCTGTTGTTGTCTGCGTATCTGATTTGTTGTATGTTTCTGCTTGCAGTAGTTGAACTTCCAATCTAAAATACAAAATAGTATAATGAAAATTCCGCCAGTTCAAACGCACGAGTTTCTTACAGAAGTTCTCATAGCGCTATGCAGATTCAACTTGATGTGATGTGCAAGAAAATGTTCATTCACAGAGCGCACCTCTGTCTGAGTACCAATCTCATTTCCTATGTGTTCTTGCCTTCAAAAAGAAAACACACAAAAACAATCAAAAATAAACGTTGTAACTGTAACTTAAGTTGCCGCTTCTTGACCAGAATTCCTAGTGTCACATTTTCTTCCAGCTTTGGTCTACCATTCCTACTGCATTTGCTGCAACAAACGTCTAACACTGTGGTGGATTCATGTCATCTCATGTGGCAAGGGCCTATCCAAAGTATGGTTGTGAAGAAGCTTATTTTGCATTCAGTAAGCTTTACATGCTTTCCACATGCTCAAAGATGCTCCAAGCACATATAGATTAGACATTTTGTGACATGTGAATTAAGCTGCTCGTTCTGCATGACTCATACATTCTGATTGGCAAAGAAGTTGTTTCTAGTCCTCGCAGTTCTCAATGCTCATCGGAGTGCTTCCAATCGTCGATCCTCACAGGGGAGCCCGGCGACCTTTCGCTCATCCCAAAACGATTCTTCGATGCTCTCCTCACTCTTAGGCCAGCTGGACTGGCGCAATTCTCCCAGAAGTACAAATAGGCCATTGGGATCCACTTGGCCAAGTCAGTGCTTTTCAAATTCGCTCTCACTTCACACATCTTCACACCTCCAGCTCCTTCCTGGGGCCTTCCTTCGTTCATTCCATTCTCCCTCCAAGGGGCCAGTGAGCGTCGTGGAGTCCGTGGCCTCGGAGGGCTCCGAGGCCGTGAAGTCGGGGACGAAGGCCTTCGCATCCAGATCCGGCCTCGAGAGGACTCTCTGTCCCGATGGGCCCCAAACGGAGCGGGCAGCGGAACAATGGCTTGAAAGAAAGACAGAAAGAAAACAATAACAAAAGAATGAGATGCGTACAGCAAGACATGATTCAAGACTTGCGGAAGACCTACCTGTAACAAATCATTAGTGCCACAAGGGACGCATGTTGATACAATTGTGTCAAAACACTTAAGTGTTATATATCCCTTTGTTCTATAGCTACCGAAACAGTGTGATTATCTAAAGACACCGCATAAAAAACTAGGATATATAGCGAGTAATTATGCCAAAAAAGAGGCATGATCCTCGATGTTTTTTTCACAGAGCAGTCCTCATTAAACACCACTTTGTGATTCGTGATGTGGCTATCGTGGTCTCAAAGCAGCCACCATGATGACAAGAAATCGGCAGCGAAGCACCACCAAGCCACCAAGGATTGGACCGTCTGAGGCCTAGCCCCCTTTCACCAGTCCTTTGGACTATCCCCATTGATGTGCAGCATTCCATCATTACAGTAATATTAACATAATTTAACATTCATCCAGGATCATCCAGGTTCTGAACTCCCAATGTTTTTCCCTACCCCCCCCTCCCACCCTTATGACATGAACCCCCCCGTTCTCAATGCTTCCAACCCATGCTGAACCCAGGGCTCGTCCCCGTCCTTTGTCGACCCGGCCTCCCCAAGTAGCCACGCGCGATGAAGGGTCCTCCGAAGGCGATCTCTGCAGGTTCCAGGCTCGCGGCGGAGAGTCGGTGGTCTCGGAGGTCGGTGAGGACCACCTGCCCGGAGGTCTCCGGTCGGTGAACATGGAAGGTTGGGTTCTTCTTCATGCCCGGTGAATATCAGATATGATCCATAGATAAAGGAAACCATAATGATCCACAATGATCAGATATGATTCAATATGATCGTTACCATCCAGTTTTCTGATGCTTTGTGGTGTGAGTTCTTTTGAGACAGATGCGCTTCGCCACACACGGTGATCGCCTGAACCGCAGAGCGACCCTCTTGGATGTAGGGTTCAGTGCCACTTGTTTTGCCAAGGTGCTACTAATATAATCTAATATGTACTATTTAGACCTCTGTGGAGTTCTGGAGACAAACATGTTCGAACAGTATCAAACAGTCAATCCTCGCTGAACATCTCCCAAATAACATATTTCACCACCACAAGAATTCCAGTTCTACTATCCCACAGACTCTCCCACCGTAGCTTCTTCCCTGCTTCATCTTGAAACAACTTTGGTCAACGGGATCTGCCAACTGAAGACTCCTGCACCGCCCACGTGTTTTCTTGCCCATTTACAGTCATTAAGATCTTCCTGGGAGCTTCAGGTGTTACAAGTCTTGTTCTCTCCTGAGTAGTTTCTGGCTCACAGCCCATAAATATATATCATATATATCATATGCTACTGTATCAACTAGTGACCCCAAACAGGAGATAGTTGTAATCAGAAGGGTGAACCAATAGGTGAACCCTTTTAGTTCATGCATTGAAAGAGTGTTTTGTCTATATTGAAAGACTGTTGCTCCCCAAACAGGATGTGCTCTCGCCTTAGAACCATGCATTGGAGCGCCCGCAGAGACCCGCAGCACGGCCCGGCCCTGAGGGACGTCCCAGTAGGTCATCTCGCCTTCCTTCGTCGTCGTCGTCGTCGTTCGAAGACAATGGTGAAGGTTCGGAGGTGAGCTATGAACAATGGGAAAAGAACCAGAAGGTTATAAACTAGTAAATGCTTGTGCCCTGCAGGTTGCACAAGCCCTTTCCTTGAGCAGGGCCCATGAACGCACAGGGGCTCTTTTTCTTCTCATAAGTTCTCTGGCTCTTGAAGGTCTTTGTAAGCATTGTTTGGATTCGTTCAGGACCTTCAGCAAATGCTGCGACCAACGTCTGGATGAGCCAAGATAACTAACCTCAATGTACTTCACATTCCCCAGGTTATGAGCCGATTTCTGTTAATACTCACAGGAGAGATAAGGCAGTTGGAGTTTGAGCCGCCATTAATGTGAATACGGCCCAACATGTTTTCGATCGATCTCTGTCGTCCAAGTGTCTGTCGGCCCATACAAGTTCGTCAGCGTGCAGTGGTGGAAGCGGGAGAACATCTTCCTGAGTTGTAACCCACTTCCGGGCAGGCCACAATCCCTCCTGTGGTAGTTGTAACACCCTGTTGATGTGTTGCGTTCGTTGCGCGTGACAGTCACGCCCTGTTGAGGTTCACTGTGGCGAGGGAAAGGACTCCGCTGACCGAACTCGGACCGCTGATGAGTCTCCCAGCAGCTCCTTCGGTCAACAGAATCCCCTTTCTCGGCAGTCACAGGCACAAAAAAAACCATTCATGGGTTAATGGACACCATGGGTGCTTTGAAGACTAACAAATCACACATGTTCTTGGCCTCCTTCCCTTCTATCCCTTTCAGCTGGCATATGCTGGAATAAGCAATTTCAATTAAGCATCAAACAGTCAGTAATGTTTAATAATAGTATCAATGCCAAACCCAGTTAAGTGTCTTCGTAGTGAGTGATTGGTGTTCTTGGGAGAACTTGAACAGGAATCACATCACTTCTATAAAAGTTGCAGTTAAAGAACAATGTGGTGACAATGTGGTGCCCTGGGTCATCTGGCATTCAGTTGCAACGGCTTGAGCCTGTGAAAGAAATTGAAAGAATAATGCCAATTAGAAAGACTGTCCAATTTGTTGACTGCTCATCTCCCCGAAAACATCTGCAGCTACATCGGTTGTTCGATGTTGCCAGTCTTGATCCTACACAGCCACTGGTGTTGGCGGCTTTGCCATGTTGTCAAGTGACAACATCAGGTTTCTGAGACGGTAGTCCTTACTATGCTCCAAGCACTCTAGGACTTCCCCAAGGGGTCAGTCCGAAGTTTGGAGCCGAAGAAGTTTGGCCAAAAGCCGAAACCCAACGCTGAGACCTCCAAGTGGCTGTGCCAAGGATGGGTTCAAGGCTTCGCCACAGGTGACGATCTCCCGAGCTTTGGAGTGATGCCACCAGGTTCCTCGGTCAGACCGACGTGCGGTGTCCGAAGTCGGATGAATAAGTGGATATTGATATTATATATAGTATGCATTGTGTTTTGTATCATCGATGTGTGTATATGTATAGTTACACATATCAGAAAAATATGTAGATAGACTGCAGATTACTGCAGCAAACCATCCGCGTTTATCACACTGTACCGAGCAACTTCCTTCGGTATCGAATGGTTTCGGGCCAGGATCAGCAGAAAGATCGTTCTTCCATTTGGCTGTAGTGTGTCTGAGTCTAGTTCCGACTTCAACAACTTGTACTTATTGATGGTTATTGAAGCAAGGTTAACAACAATCGGGCAGCAAGCCTCTCAGGAAAACTCCGGGAAACTTCTCTCACGCATCATATGCCTACATACTAGACTCGACTATACTACTAGAAAACTGGACGTCCGAACAACGCCTTGCCGCTGGGAAGCCATCTGCGTGATGCTCTCCTGCTTTTCTTTGCATATCTTCCTCCTGAAGAATCCAATGTGTTTTTGTTCACAACAAATGTCTGCTGCCGCGGTAACCTAATAACTGACTCACAAATGACTGCCGTCGTATGCCATGGATCCCGTCCTCCAACTCATCGTACTTATCGAAGACCATGTGCAACATCGACGGCACCTGAAAACCATCATTGCCTTCCGCAGCTTCGAAGCGACCAGAAACCAAAAAACTTTGTGGATGGTTGAAACAGCTCCAGGCTGGATGAGGCCGGCACAAACACGTGAGCTGCCACGTAGTGCACATTTTCTGGTGATGGCCCCTTTCCAGGTATCAAACGCTCCTGCAACTTGTAACACTCAAGCCAACGAGTCAAAAGGTGGAAAGGCGGGACATTCCCTTCGACATCCTTCGACCTCGCTAAATCCAACTGGTCACTTCCTATCCCAACCTCAGAATGGTTTTACATCTCCCGATGAGTATTGAAATCAACGGTCTACGTTAGCGGAACAGTTCATATCATTTTCCTGCTTTTCCCACCGTGCAAGCATTCTCCTGAGGCGAAGGTGAGGTGAAGGCATTGCAGGCACGACGTAGCAAATACTCCGCATCCTTCTCACCACCTCACAAAGAGAACCAATGGGTCCCAAAAGAAGGGTGGAAACTGAGATTAAGTATCTCAAATCCCCCCCGTCGAGCAAACTACGTTGGTGGACGACGCCCCCAACGCTTTCGCCAAGGGTTTGCGTGGAGACATTCCAATTTAAATGTCTTATCAAAAGAAATGAACAATGTGACAAGAAGTGATAACCGCGCTTGCGCGCATGTGCACATATTGGTTTTCAGTTTTTGATTGGTAACTGTGGACGGACTTGCCCGAACATGCAGGTGAACTCTTGCAATCCCAAGAGAGCATGCAACCCGTTCTTATGAACTGTAGGACATTGTAGGACCACTAGCAATCCACTTCTATTCTATACATTCTAGGTTGGAGGCCATCGCTATTAGTAGGTTGGAGGCCACTGTACTAGGTTGGAGGCCATCGCTCTTAGGTTCGAGGCCACCGCTATTAGGTTCGAGGCCATCGCTCTTAGGTTCGAGGTCATCGCTCTTAGGTTGGAGGCCATCGCTCTTTGGTTGGAGGCCATCGTTCTTAGGTTGCCGTTGGCGTCGCCTGGTGGAGCCAGGATCAATGTCGCGCCAGCCGTCAGAGGCCAAAAGATTTCCCATTCCGACAGGCCGAAGGTGTACGCCACCTGCACAGGGGAAATCCCGACGACGGGATGAGGCATTGAGGCTGAGTCAGGTGAGGTGGATGATTGAGAAGCCTGGCACAATTACTGACTGTTTCGGAAGTGAATACCCATAAGCTACTGTACATTCTGGCCCTTGTGCAAAAATGCCAAAGACTGGTGCGTAGGTAGTTGGCCCTCCAAACCCACTTCTTCTGTGTGCGGGGATCCCTGGGACGGGACATAGACGGATGCACCTTGGAGACAATGCCCTCTCCAGGATGCAAGGGCCAGCGCTGCTGGAACCAATGAATGCGATGTACCTGGGCGACTCGGCCAACGCCGCAAAAGGCCACGAAAACGGAATCTTGAGTTTTGCAACTTGACATGGAGTTGCGCATCTGGCACGACATTGTGCCTTCGACATGATGAAAGACCCAGCAATTAAAGTAGATCTGCTGCTAATCCACACATGTTTCTTTTTGCGGAAAGGCATGTGGTCGTCCCTAATTCACGCTTTGCCAACTTCAGCAAAATTAATCGGTTTAGAGAGATTATATCCATCTTTGGACGAGGCACCAAGCCTTTGTTCTCTACCTGAGTTCAAACAACAGCAGCAAAGGCCGGCCCTGGTGAGTCACGAATGCATAACTTTAATTCTATCAATTCACGCTTTACACAGCGGTCACTTCAGCTCATCTCTAGACTCTTGCCTCGCATGTCCAGTCTGCCAGGCCGCCATTACTCCTTTGGGCTTTCCGGTGGTGCCAGAAGTGAAGAAGGTATAGGCCAGTGTATTGCCTTTGCCTTGATCAGCCACAGTAGGTCCATCCACCCGGCTCTTCACATCCATCACAGTGGTGACCTTGGGTGTGCAACGTACCACGGCAAGGGGACACGTGGACTGGTATCCTCCATCAAGCTTCCTGGATCTTTTCTTGATTTCACTTTATATACATACTGTCCAAAACTTTACAATGTCATGCCAATTGACTTAGTCCTGGGCAATTGCACTTCAGAACCAAGGCATTACAAAACCCAAGGGGCTAAAGAGACTCTGCGTGCAATTGAGGAAAGCTTGGTGTGGCAATCAGAGGAAGCCAAAAGCACCTCAAAGACTAGGCGTTCGGACGGCGGCACACGATAAGCCTCTCACCTGAAGGTAACACCCTGGACAAGTTGGACCTGTTATGACCTGCGAAAATGAAAGTGTTTACCCACCAAGATGGCCTCCAACCTAATAGCGATGGCCTCTAACCTACTAGCCATGGCCTCCAACCTTTTAAAAGCGACAGCCTCCAACATAGTGAACCTGAACGTGTTCAGTCATTTTACTCCTCATTGAGGCCTTTGACATGAAGGCATGACAAATTGCCATGAACGACAAGGTATGTCTTTCGCCATCTGTGGAATCCTTTCTGCACGCCAACAAGGCGCAGGCCTGCTTCATGGAAAGTGTTTAAACAGTGACATCTTCAGGTCAAGGTCAAATCCTCAAAGGGTGGCTTTCCCGGGCAAATCTGCACATCACGAGCAAGTCGGCCGGCAAAACACCTTTCTGGACTGTCACCTTTGCGGACTTGAGGATCCCTCCACTCCAAACTCAATGACCCAATGTCGATATGCTGAACTGGCGAAGACGGCGCCTGGCTGCCGCACTGGCGTAAGACGTCTTCCAGTCGATCGTCTGGCCAATGAAGGTCCAGCGGGACATAGCCTCGAAGCATCGAGCACAGCTGGGGAAGGGGCCCACACGGTGTGGGGTCTCCAAGAGAGTCTTCTAGTGACGAGTGGAAGATGGAACCCCTATCCATCGTTCAAAAGCATGACACCTAGCTGCTGTAATGCAACGAATGGCAGGTTGTTGGGTGAGCCAATCATAATGTCAACCAATTGAATGGCTGTCCAACTCTTCAAGTAGCAGCAGCAAGCTGTAAAACCGTCAGGCGAAGGGGAATGTCGTAATTATGAATAAAAACAACAATCCCAACCAGTGATGTCCTTTGGGAAGAATAAAGGGGTCGTTGTGGTATCATTGATTGTACACTTGAGGGTGTTGTCCCCTTCCCACAAATCCAGCAACCAAGGGCGTAAAAGGCCATCGATTTAAAAGGATGGGATCAGACCCACGCATTGAGCCATCAGAGTGGCAAGAAGTGAAAATCACAGAGTTGCTGAGTTGATTCATTTAGCTTCTGCAAATTCTTCGTTTTTCATCTGTTTTCCTTTTGCAGTTGACTGGACGCTCCCTGATGACGCTGTGTCCCCCACCGCTTCCAGAGCGAATGATCCCAAGGATGCCCAGAATCATCTCCACTCCCCGCGAGGCCATCAGTGGGACAAGCGAGTCCGGGAAGACCTCGGGCAGCAGCTCGTATGGGACTAGAATTTTGTGGGTGTTGATTCACCATGAAGAGAACTGCCTGCATATATAGTATATAGGAATGCTGGCCTACCGACGCCTCAAAACAAGATCTGTCTGTATACAGCTAAGAAGCCCCAGCTTGCCGTAGTGCGAAGGCCAGTGAGCCTAGGAGTTTTGCATCTGTCGAACAAAACAATCTGAGCACCAAAGGAGTTGCTGAGGTGTGCTTCGCTTCACCAAGCTGAGGTGTTCACCTCAAATGAGACCTTCACAAAAGACTTTTCTGAATCCTTTAAAGCACGGATCCATATCTGGTCAAGAGGGACATCAAATGCTTCCCGAGCGATCCAGGATCCTTCCATCCAAAGGACCTCCTTCAAACATTTACAGTATATACTTAACAGGTTGGGTCTGGGGTACGACATCCAGCTGCACCAGCCAAGTGTTTGGTTTCTGCAAGTGCTCGGTTTTTCCACTCAACCTGTCCAGAGCTGCACCAAGGAGCTGGACATCTTCAAGACTTCCTGTGGCACAACAGCTGCATGCCACACCAATCGAAACTATGTATCCCATTGTATATCAGTACTTATATAAGTATATCCAACAAATCCACCACTGAAACAGGGGATTCCACGGAGTAATGGCTCTCAAAACCAAAGAAATATTCACCCGGTCAGTCCTGGTAGGTGTATGTCGTACCAGAACCATCATCCATCAGGGCCAGCTCATTCGGAAACGCCTTTGCCGTGGTCTCGATCCTTGTCTTGACAGGCACTGCAAGGACAACATGTCACAACACCACATCCCTCAAACGGTCTGAAATTCCACCTGCTCCAGTCGATCTAGGGACTAAACATGGCAAAAAAGGCCAAGCGACATGGAGGACATAGATCGATCTGCAGAGAAATGCTCTTTTGCACCAGGTACATAGCAAGAGGAGCCTTGGATGGCTAGGCCGCCAGCGTTCTCTGCTCACTGTTGAAGCTCTGAACATCCACAATTTGCTTAGTCGAGCAATCAAAATCGTCGCACAGAAAAACAACAAACTCCACTCGACCAACATGGGGAGCTTTGCATACCTTTGACATTTCATTGCCTCTGGCCTCTGTCTGCAAAATTCCAGCATGGACTGCACACAAAAAAAACGAACAGAAGGTGACAGAATGGTCAAAACCAGCCAATCTTTGCACATCCCATTTTCGCGGTGTCTGTTTGGACCCTTACGAAACCGCCCGCACCAAACCAAACATCGAACGGGGGTCCCGTGTGTGAATTCCGATCTTGGAAGCATCGATGGCCTCCAACCCAATAGCGATGGCCCTAGTAGCGTCTTTGCTCCTAGTAGCAGTGATGAGCCAAGGGGCTGTAGGCGTCCTGCCACTGAGACACTTCCATCTCATCGACCGAGCCCTCGCTCTGCAGCGACAGTTGACACAGCGCCATCTCCGGGGACCTCAGGGTTTTGATGCGGATGTCTGACATGGAGGGATCTCCCAACAACTTCCCCGGTGTAACATCGTGTACCGGTGTTTTAGCTTCAAGAATACGTAAGTACTAGATATAGTAGTATATATTATAATACTGTATACAGTAGTATAATTCTTGTTGTAGGACGTTGTGGGAGGATTCCAAGGGAAAACACTCTAACACGCATTGGTGGACTGTACCTCCAGTGATGTACAGATTTTCCTATGAAGGCCGGCCATCGGGATCCAATATGAGTGATCGAAACATGCACGTAAACGTTCAAACAAACTCAAAGCACTTGTGAAAGAGACTTGATATCTGCATTCAGTCCATATTCAGTAATTATTGTTTAATGAATTTGATGAGAGATACTAACAAAAAGGGCTACCCACTCATGATCCACTTTAGTACCGCCTTAAGCTGCAGGGCTTTGAGAGCATGCTGTGGGTCACGTTTCTTCGAGCTAACCCGGCCCGACCAGGTATTCTGTGTGTCCTGGTGTGGTTGGTGTTGTCAACTATGGTCAATTCTGTGTTCATTGTCTGTTGTCGGTTCCTGGATCAGGGTTATTGGCCGGACACTGAGGGGGGCCCACTTGCGGGACACTGTGGCAAGACACTGGACACTGGTGAGATGTTTGGGTCGGGCCACAGCGTTGTCCTTGTGTATGTCATTCAGTGCAGTCCATGTCGGTGTTTGTTGTTCTATTGCAGTGCTTGCCGTTGGACTGGACAGGCACTACGTGAAGCGCTGCATGTCTACTCCAACATCTAGCTACCCCAATCATGTCGGTTGGGGAATCAAACACCTCAGTGGAGAAACATCATGAACATTCATGAACCATCTATCTGCGAATCTTTTCGGCTTCCGGGGTCTGGAGCGATGCTCCGCCTCACTCACCGGGCCTGCTCAGCGAATCCATGAGGCTCGTGAGGTGTCGGAGCATCCTGCGAAGCGGAGAAGGCGGAAGGTCATGCGCGTTGGCTCATGTTGGCTCTGGCACCTACCAGAAACTGCCAGAAACAAAAAATTGTAGATTGGTGTGAATTATGTTCGATGACAGCATGTGCAAGTCCCACTGATCTGCTTCCATGACACTTGGCGTGAGCTAGCTGCTGTGGTGCTAATCCGCAGACCCCAGCCGATGGTGGGGGAGCGCGCCAAAGGACACTGCGCAAGAAATCGGTGACAAACAAACAGACTGACTGTATGGAGGGCGGGGTTCAGTAGCCTGTTGCAGCGGACTTGGAATCTGGACGCGAGACAGGCTCGAGGCTAGCAAACAATCATCCCGGGGACTCGGGAAAGGTTACGTAAGTTAAAGAAAGGGTCCGAAGACACGGCCGCGAATGCCCAGACTTCCACAGAGTGTGTGAAAGAAGAGTTGCCGCAAACCAGTTTGAAAGCTCAGAGACAAATGAGGACATCCTCACGCCGCCAGGACAGCAAAGTGTGCTTGAGGTCGAGATGCGTGGCAGCAGAAAGTCTAGAGATCTAGTGGTGGTGGTGGTGATGGTGATGCTGGGGATGGGGATTCGCAATGCTTCCAAAATCTGTGCTTGCAAGGTCCGCAAAATAGTGCACCTGCACCAAAATTCGCACTTCAAGGTCCACAAAGTACTGCGCCTGCCACAAAAATTGCACTTCAAGGGCCACAAAGTACTGCACCTGCCAAGAAATTTGCACTTCAAGGTCCACAAAGTACTGCGCCTGCCACGAAATCTGCACTTCAAGGCCCACAAAGTAGTACTGCACCTGCCACGAAATCCGGACTTCAAGGCCCACGAAGTATCGAAAGTACTGCTCAAGTACTGCGCCTGCCACAATAATGCACTTCAGGGTCCACAAAGTAGCGCGACTGCCACGAAGTCTGCACTTAAAGGTCCATTCGCACTTCACCTGCCACTGAAAACGATCCACATGTCCAATTAAATTAGTCCACTGCACCTGCCACGAAATCAATCCATGCCGAAGACCACCACCATGTCCAAAGTACTGCGCCTGCCTAAAATCTGCACATCGACATCAAACTGCTCCGATCTCTCCTGCGGCTGTCACGAAAAGTCGACCACCAAAACACGAGGTGTCCCTTGCGCCTGCCACGAAAAGTGATCACCAAGTCCAAAAATGCGCACGGCACTACAACGAGAGCGCAACTCCATCAAGCACCGTCCATGGATCTAGAGAAGGATTTTTCGCCAAACAGTGTGGACACACTAAGGGGTTCTTACGGCAGGTGAAAAGAAGCTGTGCTTAGATTGCTGTGCCGCGCGGGCGTGTGCGGCTAATTCATTCGACTGCGCAGGCTCGCAAAATCTGCCTGCCCGCGGCGGGTGCTTCTAGCAGCTGCGCTCTCGTTGTGGCGCCGTGCGCATTTTCGCACATGGTGGTGATTTTTCGTGGCAGGCGCAATGGGAAGCCTCGCGTTTTGAATTTGGTGCTCCAAAGTCGACTTTTTGCGACAGGTGCAAGGAATCGGAGCTGTTTACTTCTTCGTGGCAGGTGCAGCACTTTGGACATGGTGGTGATCGTCGAGGAGATCAGATTTCGTGCAGCGAATCGTGACTTTTGGACATGTGGCTCGTTTGCAGATTTCGTTCGTGGCAGGCACAGCACTCTGTGACCCTGGATCTGCAGATTTCGTGGCAGGCACAGCACTGACTTGGTGAACCTCGAAGTGCAGATTTCGTAGCAGGTACAGCACTTTGTGAACCTCGAAGTGCAGATTTCGTAGCAGGCGCAGGACTTGGTGAACCTCGAAGTGCAGATTTCGTGGCAGGCACAGCACTTGGTGAACCTCGATGTGCAGATTTCGTGGCAGGTACAGCACACGGTGAACGTCGAAGTGCAGATTTCGTGGCAGGCACAGCACTTGTGGTGAACCTCGAGGTGCAGATTTCGTGGCAGCCACAGCACTTGGTGAACCTCGAGAGTTCAGATTTCGTGGCAGGCACCGCGAAATGCAGATTTCGTGGCATGCGCAGTATTTTGTGAACCTTGCCCCTTGCTGCGCAGATTTCGTGACAGGCGCAGCTCTTTGTGAACCTTGATGCGCAGATTTCGTTAGCAGGCACAGCACTCTCACTCACTCACCCACCCACCCACCCACTCACTCACCCACCCACCCACCCACGCACGCACCCACTCACTCACTCACTCACTCACGCACTCACCGCCACCGTCACGACAATCCCCACCTTCATCACCACCATCACCTCTCTGGACCCCAATGCGTCTTACAGACCTCACACACACACACAGGGTCTCTTGCTGGGATAACTTTTACTGCCGTCAGAAAGTGACGTTTGGCACTGGCCGACCAGCTTCGGGGACTGTTTTTGGGCCATTTTTGGTGTGGAATTGGATTGGCTAAAAGCGTGGCAAGTCCAATCGTTACGGGCCGTCGGGAGAAGCCACTTAACATTGTTTTGATTCCTTTGGATTTTCTTGAGGATTCCTTTTCATTTCCTTTTGTTTCCATTTGGTTTCTTTTTGATTCCTTTTGCTTCCCATTTATTTCCTTTTGAGTCCTTTTGCCTTTCCTTGATTCCTGTTGATTCCTTTTGATTTCCTTTGACTCACTTTCCTTTCCATTTGCTTCCTATTGATTTCCTGTTACACTGAACAAAGTATATAACTAGAAAGAAAACAACAAAGTATATAACCACTTGAGGCCAGAGGGGGTGAACGAAAGCTAGCCGGGCGGGGAGGCGTGCGCATGCTAGGGTGTGGCTGCGCAGACAACCAACCAACAAACCACCAAGCAGCAGCAGCAACGGACCACCAAGCAGCTGCAGCAGCAGCAAACCACCAAGCAGCTGCAGCAAACCATCAAGCACCTGCAGTCTACCACCAAGCAGCTGCAGCAAACCACAAAGGAGCAGCAGCAGCAGCAGAAGCAGACCACCCAGCGCCAGCAGCAGCAGACCACCCAGCGCCAGCAGCAGCAGACCACCCAGCAGCAGCAGCAGCAGACCACCCAGCGCAGCAGCATACCACCAGCAGCAGCAGCAGACCACCCAGCGCAGCAGCATACCACCCAGGGCAGCCGCAGCCGCAGCAGCAGCAGCAGCAGCAGACCACCCAGCGCCAGCAGCAGCAGCAGCAGCAGCAGACCACCCAGCAGCAGCAGCAGACCACCCAGCAGCAGCAGCAGCAAACCACCCAGCAGCTGCAGCAGCAGACCACCACCCAGCAGCAGCAAACCACCACCCAGCAGCAGACCAGCCAGCAGCAGCAGCAGCAGACCACCAAGCAGCAGCAAACCACCAGGCAACAACAGACCACCAAGCAGCAGCAGACCAGCAAGCAACTGCAGCAAACCACCAAGCAGCAGCACACCACCACGCAACAGGAGACCACCTACCAGCAGCAGCAGCAGCAGCAAACCAAGATTTTGATGCTAGGCATGAGATACCTCCAAATCAGTTCAACACGAGTTCAAAATGTGGCCCTCGTTTTGCACCGCTTTCGCACCGAATTCTATTGTACATGGCCACCAAAAAAAGAGAAGCAGCAGCAGCAGCAGCAACAAACCACCAAGCAGCAGCAACCACCCAGCAGCTGCAGCAGAACCCCAAGCAGCTGCAGCAGAACACCAAGCAGCTGCAGCAGAACACCGAGCAGCTGCAGCAGACCACCCAGCAGCAGCAGCAGCAGCAGACCACCCAGCAGCAGACCAGCAGGCGAGCACGTGAGGCCATAGTGTTGCAAATGCTGGGCCAAAATTGGTACGAAAAAGGGGTTTAAATTAACACCTTTTTGGGTACAATGTGCAGGCGGCATTTCTTGCATCATAGCCTTACCCCTCGTACACCACTAGTTCCGATATGGAGTCAGGTAGCGTCATTTGGCTCTTGTGCACTCCGACTATCGGCACTCAAAGGTTGACAAAACTGCTTTAGAGCGCACGTGGAGTCCAAGTGCTCCCACAGTGCATAGCCGGAGGGAATGAACCGCCCACCGAGTAGCAGCCACAGCAGCGGCAGCAGCAGCAGCCCACCCCGCAGCAGCAGCAGCAGAAGCAGCAGCAGCAGCAGACGAGCACACCAGGCAGCAGCAGCAGCAGGAGCAAACGAGCACACCAGGCAGCAGCAGCTAATTTGTTTCCACCCGCTCACCGCGCGCAGGGGGGAGTTGAACCTCCGGAGGGGGGGGGGTCCATAAGATTGATTTAATCAATTATTTGAGGTTTCTGAGGCGCGTCCACCCCGTCATTTAGCTTGCTAAAGCAAGAGCAACTTCAGCTAGCTAAGGCTAGCTTTCGTGAAAAAGAAAACACAAACAGAGAAGAAAGAGAGAGAGAGAGAGTGAGAGCGAGAGAGAGAGAAAGAACAAAAAGCGATTTGTTCAGTGTGAAATAAAAGAAAACACTTGTTCAGGGCCACGACACTTCTTCAGTGCCAAAACAAAGACACTTTTTCAATGCCATAAGTGCCAGATAACAAAAAAGAAACACACATTACCTAGGGTCGGCGGCACAGCCCGGCAGCCCTCAAGGCGGTTTGCTCCCCGCTAATTAGACGGAACACAAAAGAAAGAGAAACCATGTCAGACCGTGGGTCCAAGTATGTCCACACAGGCAACTACTTCCGCTCAACGTGTCGACTTCAGACCCTCGGCTCCTGGCGACCGTATCAGGTGAAAAGAATCCTCGACAACACCGCATCTCCTGAAAGCGGCCGTGGCCATCCGTGGCCCTCGTTCCAAGCAAATGGAGGCTTCGGGTTGGGACCTCCCGGAAAATACAGTATTATGCCATCGTGATCCGTTGTGCATCTGTTTGTTCTTCATCGGCCTTCCAGGTCTAAAATATCACCACTGTCGCATGCCACGTCAAGACTGGATGTTGTCTTGAAACCATCACAACCCCGTTTCACTTACATCCTTACATCAGACCTGTATGCATCTGTCACATCCAAGAACGGTGCGCGGTTTTTCATCCCC